GTTACTGGGAGGGGCCGTAAAGACGACTCTATACAAACAATAAAAGATTACGAAGAGAATTTCTTCAGAAATTCAAAATTATTCAAGCAAGTACATTTTTTAAACATGTAGTCGTCAAATTGTAAATGACTGGATATTATTTATTGTTTTTTGTACAGACAAGGTAGAGTATTATCCAATCAAGTGACTACGCGTAATTTGAGTATGGCGGTAGCCGATTGCTTTTGGAAAATGGTAAAGGAAACTGTTGAGCAACAAGCAGATGCATTTAAAGCTGCAAGATTTAATCTAGAAACAGAATGGAAGAATAACTTTCCTCGACTACGTGAGCAAGATAGGGATGAACTGTTCGACCGAGCACGGTCAGAAATTCTCGACGAAATTGTCAACTTATCTCAAGTCAGCACTAAACAGTGGGAGGAAAGTCTCATGAACAAAATTTGGGAAAAGGTTTCTACGCATGTATTCGAGAACATCTACTTACCATCTGCACAGACTAATTCGCAGGGTAATTTCTTCTTAATAAAAACTATTACAAAATGATTTTTAAAAAAATTATCTAGAAACCTTCAATACATCGGTGGATATCAAGCTTCGTCAATGGGCTGAACAGACGTTACCGTCGCAATCTGTAGAGTCTGGTTGGGAAACACTGAAAGAAGAGTTTAGATCTTTCTTGGAAAAGGCATCTAAAAATCCCAATCATGACAATATTTTTGATCAACTGAAAACAGCAGTTGTGGAAGAGGCTATGCGACGTCATACATGGGAGGATAAAGCTGCCGAAGTGCTACGAGTTATTCAACTAAATGCTCTAGAAGATAGAACGGTGAATGATAAAAGGGACTGGGACTCAGCCATTCGATTCCTTGAGAGTAGCATACGTGAAAAATTAAAAACCACTGATATTGTACTCAAACAGATGTTGGGACCTTCCACGAAAGAAAAGTGGTTGTATTGGAAGTCTCCCACCGACGAACAAGCAAAAAGAAGCTATGTCAAGTCGGAATTGGACAAAATATTGGCTTCCGATCAAGTAAGAATAATTTTTTTTTTCAGTATCTGGTATATATTTTTCATTTTTCAGAAACATCCTCCTGCTTTAAGTTATGATGAATTGACAACAATTCGTAAAAATTTACAGCGTAGTAACGTCGAAGTCGACTCTGATTTTATAAGGGAAGTATGGGAACCGGTCTATAGGAAACATTTCTTAAATCAGGCCATTAATAAGGCCTACGATTGTCGCAGGTCTTTTTTCATGTACCATCAAGGTCTCGAGACTGAATGCGGTGATGTGGTGCTGTTCCATAGGATACAACAAATGATGAAAGTGACATCAAATGCTCTCAGGCAACAAATTATGAATAGAGAAGGTAAATATTTTAATGGAATCCAATGACTGTATGTATTATCGTTGCTTTCGCTGTTTATACTTTCAGCAAGAAGATTAGATAAAGAAATAAAAGATGTACTGGATGATTACAGCCAGAATCAACAAATTAAAGAGAAACTGCTAACTGGAAGGAGAGTAACTCTTGCAGAAGAACTAAGTATGCTTTAAAGTATCAACTTTTCTGTTTTAAATAATAATTTTAATTTTTTTAGAACGTGTTAGACAGATTCAAGAAAAATTAGAAGAATTCATCCAAGCATTGAATAAAGAAAAATGAACTAGTCTCAATTCTATTATATCTTATTCCTATTAATTTTGTTGTTATTTTAATATTGTAAAATATTTGCTTTGCAGAATAGGTAACTTAAGTAAATTACGTATATATTTAATTTTACCAAGATATTTGCAATTAAACGATCAAAAACATAGAAAAAGCTACTTTAATTAAATCCTATTGTATTATAAATCAATATCTAGTTGTAAATTGTCAAATTTATCCGCGTCGTAAAAACATGCTCTTACTTGCCTCCCACCAAAAAAACGTCCATTTAAGTCCACAACTGCTTTTATGGCACTTTCAATACGCTTAAATTCTACAAATATTCTCACAGCTTCCTCTGGCTCTTTATCCATGAACTCATGGATAATAACACTACCCACTTCGCCGTATTTTGTATTACATTCATCCTTGACTTCTGGCTCTAGTTCATCATCCACTTCTCCAGGTCCTACCATGTTTCTTAATACAACTACCTGATAGATAACAAAGAATACAAATTAGAAAAAAGTATTTTGTTATCTCATTCAAATTATCTTTCTTTTCTTAATATATTTTAGTCTATGTAATAGATAAATTCATATTTTACCTTACTAGGAGACTTCATCATTTCTGTAATACTTAATTCTTGCTTTGCCCCAAAATCAGTAACAGGTGGAGGCATAATTTCTTTTTCATGAATAATTCTACCCCCTCTTTTTGATGTTTTTTCAACTTGTAGGGCCATAGACATTCCCTGTTCTTGCTTACCAAGCCCTTGTCCTTCTTTAAAGCCATATTTAGCCATAATTTTGGCAGCAACAGAACTACCATCATAAGTGTTTACCAAAGTAGGTTTAATGACAATAGGAGCTTCTGGAGGCTCTTGTAAACTGGGAGGTGGAGCAATTGCAACTCCACCTCCCACACGAGATGATTTTGTTACAGGCTCCTCATCTTCTTCCCATCTGCCTATGGAAATAAGTTATATTGCAATTGCCAAATGCAATACATGATGATAACAAAACATTAAATCATACCTGCAAAACCACTTCCAACAGGTGGAAGGGAAACCTGTGGTGTTGCTTGTGAAGGCATTGGGGTAGGAGTATCTTCTTCTGGATCACTAAAACGACTTTTTCTTTTTTTCTCTCTTCTTCTCTCTTCTTTCTCGTTTTCACGGTCTCTCTGGTCTCTCAATTCTTTAACTACTTTTTCATATTCATTTGGCCAAAGGGGATCATACTCATTATCCACGTTCCAATCATACTCAGATCCAAATCCTGTCAGTGATGGAATGATGGGAAGAGAATGTTCATTCTTTACCCTCGATGAACCCCTTATGGTTACTGTATTTGAAAAAATCTCATCCTCATCTCGTTTGCTCTTTAAATCAATTACGGGAGCCAAACTTGCTTTCCTCTGTTGATCACGTTTAGGCTGTGTAACAGTAGCTTTTTTTAATTGAAGCTGCGATTGCAATAGTTTAATTCCAGAAGACCATCCTGATACTTTTTCTGTGGATTGAGTTTTAACATCATAATCATCGTACAAAGACATTTTTTAATCATTTAATTTTAAGTGAATTTTAAGGTTATTATCATAGACAAGGTTAATACCCTTCATGAATATTAACGGTGGTGTTTGTGGTAACAGTCAACTAAGGAACCTTTTGATGCACTACTCATTTACACCATTTTTTTTGTATCTGATATCTATGGATTTATGCACTTATATAATTATATAATAGTAAACCTAATAATAATTTAATAAGTATAATAAGCATTATCATTATTAATAATAAAGTTTACGATTTATACATGAGGCAGTTTGACTTTTGACGTTTGTATAAAATTCGAATTAAAAGTAAGTGTTTCTGGTCTTTAAAAAATGACAGAAGAAATTCGAAACCTCTCACTAGGTCTTCAAAAATTTAGAAATTTCCTTTTTGGACGAAAGCACACGCTTACACATCGTTACCCTAAGGATGTGTCTTGTCGATCTCCTCCACTGCCAAAGTTGCCAGACGGACCATCTCATAAATTGAGTAATAACTACTACTTTAGTAGAGATCCTCGTAGGGAAATAAAACCTCCAACAGTTGTGTATGTCCCACAAATATCATTAGAGAAAACAGGCGAATGTCCACAAAAATTAATTGGAGCTAGAAAACCTGGAATAACATACAATTGGGACCAGTAATTGATGAATGATGCATATAGTAATTATATCTATTTAACTATTCATGAAAATATAGAAGAGATGAAAGAAAATTAAATTTTGTTTTAGTAGTGTTTTGTTTGTTTGGCCTTGAAATAAATTTTCTTTAAAGTCACTTGCTTTTGTCAGATCTCCTCCTATTTCCAAATATTCTAATATCATTTCTGATATTTATAAGTATAGTATAAAACCGGACGACGATTTATTGTAGCGGTGNCTAAGTATTTATGACTTAAGAAAGGAATGTAAAACGCTCTAAAAAAGGGGTGCGAACTTTCCACCTTCAAGAATGGCAAAGTTTTGACAATTTTCCATTTTTCGGTCTGTTTAGCATAATTAGGCTCCAAGTTGGATTCTTTTCCCTGATCCAAATCCAACAAAAAGTGACATTTATTAATATTAAAAAGAGTACTCGAATTTCCTTCATTTTTGTCATTGAAATGGGCATGAATTATCTGCGTACCATTTTCCGATTCTGTATAAGGAGCGGGTAGCATTCCGTCAAATTCTGATTTTATGAAACGCACATTCCAATTTGTATTTGGCAAGAAAAAAGATCCAGGAAAACGATACCAATCTTTACCTAAACATACATTCACTTGGGACTCATTGGGAAATTTTCCCTCCAATGGAAATCTGTTTAATTCCATTGTTAAGTCTAAAGGTGCATGGTAATTTTTATACAGGGAAAATATACGAGATATACCTGTAAATAAGTTTTAAAAACATTTTAATTAATAATTAACTTTATATTAAGTAAAGGAGTAAGCTCCAAAAAGAAAAAGAAATTACAGTACTAGGAATGATTTGGGGAAAAACATAAAGAATTAAGGAATATTGGAAGAGCAAAACGTTTCTCTTCTTCACATTAGTATAGTGTAACGATATGCGGAGCTGAAGTACAGGGTAAATACACAATCATGGATTATATGAAAGGGAAAAATATATATAATTTCTAAAATCCTCACCGATTAAACTGCAAATAGTGACTGCAGCAAACATTACAAATGCAGTTGAATCTAGATAATGTGAACTAGGAGAAATTTTTATAAAGCCAATGCGTTTTGTACTCAAGAGGCATAACAGTCTAAATATAAGCTTCTGTACAACATCTACAGATATGGCACCCGCTAAACATATCATGGGATAAATTGGAAATAAAAACCTTTAAATAGTATAGATTAGTAATAACGACTTTTTTTAAATAATATTTACCTTTCCTCCTTATGAGACTGAAATAAGAAAACAACCAACCATAAAAACATTGGTGCTAAAGAAAGTGTATGAGGTAACATTAAAGTAGCCCTATTTCTTGCAGGTACCAAGATATGAGATAGAGCAAGGACTACAGGTGAAAGTAGAGCTAAAACCTGCAAAAGGTATTCACTAAGAAGAAAAAATCTTACTTCATAAAAAATTCATACCCAAACAAAATTAAAATTAAGAAAGCCATTCACTATATAAAAAGAAAATGGTTCTTTGCCATACAATTCAGGACCTGCACCCCCTAGAACATTATATTTAACAATATTCCAAGGAGCAATGGTTAGTTTTCCAAAATATTTAGAATCTATGGCCACCATGGGTCCTAAAACTGTCACTGCAGATATAACAGACCACTGAATGAAATCTTTATACATTTTCTGACAATACAACATATCAAATGCTATGGGAACACCTAAAAGAGCAGCAAAAGGCCAACCTGAAAATAAAAATGTAGGAAACTTAGTGTTTTAAAGAGTTTGAGTAACTCACCTAAAAGTGACCCCAATGCAGTGAAGAAAATTGCCAATGGATATTTTTGTTGCCACCATGCTGCACATGCAGCAGCAAATGTATACATGGCATACGATGAGGGTAAATATGCTGTGCTTGATATAAACATTCCAGCTGAAAATAACTGAAAAGCTAAGCACAACCTACCAACATGTACACCAAACTCTCTGCAAACTGCCCTAAAAAGCAATCAAACAGATTTTACTTATGGATAAAGATTAACCTATGTGTATTATAACTTACTTATAAAAATACACTTCTGCAAAAGAGCATGCTAACCCCAGTAAACATCTGATAAAGTAAAAAATGAGTAGTGGATTTGGTTGTAGTATTTTGTGATAAATATATGCTGGGATTGCATGTACTAATAAATATGTATAAGACCTTAATGCAAATTGAGGACTGTACTCCCAGGTTTGTAGCCCCTTACCAAAAACTTTATAGACTTAGAGATAAATTCGAAAATGCACCAAGGTACTAACCTAGATAATGAGTAGGCTCCCAATAGTTAAAAGTTTCATCGCAATCGGTTATGTGAGACCAAATAGCTGCACAAAAACGAGCAGACAATATTGCCTTAAATGCTGTATCACCTCCAGGATAAACTAAATTGTTTGCCTCCTTTTCAGTTTTTCTAAAAACAAACATACGTTTACATAAATATAATTTAAAATAAGGAATTTGTAGGTTACTTAGATTGCACTTTAGCAACTTTCTTGTTATTGTTCTTCGGTTCCTTTCTCGTACTACTTTGACTAGCATTTTGGCGAAGTTTAAATGATTTTCCTGATTTATTTACCATATTTTGGCCAGTTAAACTAGCATTAATTATAAAATAACAAAAAAGGAACACGTACACATGAAGCCATTATCGAATTTACTGATAAAGAAAATTTGAAATTATTCGACGTATAGACCATGCGAATATGTCTACTATGGTGTAGCGGCACAGTAGTGGTATATCTTGAATAAACTCGATGTAATATTCAAAAGAATTTTATCTACAATCTATGAACCAGTCATAACCTCTTTCTCTTTTGACGTTTGGAAGTGAACATTGAGTTAAAAATGCGATTTTACAATATTTAATATAATTTATATCAATATTTATTAATAAGTAATGAAAACAATTATGAAATACTTATAAAAAATGGAGCATTTAATGAAAGGAAAATTTGGGTAGGAAACGAAAAATTGAAAAACTGCTAGAGGTTATATCATCTTTTATTTTAGGCGGATCATAATAAGTTCTTATTCGCAAAATCCCTTAAAGTATGGGCGAAATGCATGTGCTAGAAGGAAAATGTATACTATGTGGACAGCTAGAGCAATTGATCGTTCAAAACCGCTGCTTAAAACTCAAATTCAGTATCAAATTTCTAAGAGAAATTATGGAATGTTTGTTGTCAGAGCTCTCAGAAGTGTCCTTAAAATACGGTACTTAGTATTAGGAGGAGCTGTAGGTGGAGGAATGACGTTGCAAAAGGTACAATTAAATATATTCTATGTGCCATAAAATAATAATTCATATTATTTTCAAAATAATGTAAAAAGAAAACGATTCATTTATCTGTTCTAATAAATTGTTTCAACAAAAAAGTCATTATCAAGAGGTATGAAGTATACAAACATATATTTAACATTTGCGACATCTCAAAATTATTCAAACAATGCTTCAAAAAACTTGCATATAGATACTACCTTAAATTTATTCAACTTCAGAAATACAATGACTGGAAAGATGGACTTCCAGACTTAAAATGGTTAGAAGATGTTATGCCTGACAATGACAAGTGGCAGCAGTGGAGAGTTTCCCTCATAGACCTCAAGGATAGTGTGAAAAATAACATTGACATTGGTTGGTATTTGTTTTATATTAGATAATATATTTCTTTAAAATATGCTAATCTAAAATAAGCATAAATATCCAAAACCTCAGCATTATTTTTTCTTCAACAGTAGATAAGTGTTGTTATAAATTTACTTACTTGAATCCTCCTCCACACAATCCCCAATCCAGTATGCCAGATGAATTCCAGGTAATTATCAAAATTATTATTGTTAAGATCCCAGACTGAAAGCACTATCAGAAGCAAAATATAATCAGTTTAAAAACTGGTTTGATGAACGTTTAAATGATGCTATTGCTGCTGCTGAACAGTCAGAGAAAGAATCATTGCCACCTTCTGTATCTGGTAAGTACAATTCAGCATCACTGAGTACACTCTATCTTATCTGTATAACAAACCAATTTCTTTCTCAGGTGCTTTCTCAGGCCTTTCCGAGTTTATAGACAGACTGTACTCAGGTATGATGCGTAGTTTGTTGTAGAAGTTTTGGTTTTAACATTCGTATTTTGTATGTAATATTTCAAGAAGGAATCAGAGGTACAATTATTTCAAGAATTCATTTGTTTTATTCAATTTTTGAACTGAACATATCTACCACTGTTTTTCTTGTAACTGAAATTCTTTTTGAAGTAAAACGGTCATTATTTGTTGTGCTATTATGTAAATGTTTAACTTTTTGATATATTTGTTCACTAATTTTGTTAGAACATTATTGTAATGTACTATAAACCTATGCAGAAACAAAGAAGGATTTAAAAGAAAGGCAAACAGTTCACGCCATTCCTTTTACGAATAAAGAAGACGAAAATTATAGGAGACAAACGCAATCACGTTTGGAAGCTATGCAAGACGAAGTTATCCAGACGCAAATTAAGTATCAACGAGAACTGGAAAAATTAGAAAAGGAAAACAAAGAACTAAGAAAGCAAAATCTTCTACTTAAGCAAGGGCGCAAGCCGCTTACACGCCAAGTCAAACGCAGTTTGATAGATATGTACAGTGAAGTTTTAGATGAGTTAGCAGACTATGACAGCACTTATAGTGCTGCTGATCAGCTTCCTAGAGTTATAGTAGTTGGGGATCAAAGTAGTGGAAAAACTTCAGTACTAGAAATGATCGCACAAGCTAGGATTTTTCCGAGAGGGGCTGGTGAAATGATGACAAGGTAAAACTACATCAAAAAGTAAACAAAAAAAAAATAATTATGTACCCAATGTTTTTTTAACTTGGTAACTAAAATATCTTCTTTCTTTGAGTTTTATCTACAATTATTTATTACCCTATTGCTTGGTTGTGTTACAGAGCCCCTGTTAAAGTAACTTTGTCGGAAGGGCCCTATCACGTGGCACAATTTAGGGATTCTTCAAGAGAGTTTGATTTAACTAAAGATTCGGACTTGGCGGACCTTAGGAGGGAAGTTGAATTGAGAATGCGCAATAGCGTTCGAGGGGGAAAGACCGTATCAAACGAAGTAATCTCAATGACGGTCAAAGGTAACTTCATACATTTAGTTCAGTTTTTGGTTCAAAAGTCTTATGAATCTAATTTAAAAACCTTACTTCTTATCACGAGTTCTTTAATTGTAGGTCCTGGTTTACAAAGAATGGTGCTAGTCGATCTACCTGGTATAATATCGGTAAGTTTTAAATTAGTTAATGAACCTTTTTTTTACCGTTTTTGCCTATTTAAGACCGTTACAACAGATATGGCAGCAGATACAAGGGAGGCAATTAAACAAATGACACAGGCTTACATGAATAATCCAAATGCCATAATTTTATGTATTCAGGTATTACAAAAAAAAAAATTTTTTGGCAATTATAATTATTT